GAGTAACATTAAGTACAGTCAGACGTCGATGTGTCCCATTATCATTCATATCATATCACATCATAATATATCATATATTTCCTTATTTGAGTCAGCTTCTTGAGCCGTATCTGGCCGTGCAACACTCACAGTGTCACATACTGTATGCAGAAGTATTATTTTAAGCAACACATTAAGTTGACGAAACACTCGAGTCAAATGTAATTAAAGTCAGATCCACTCGTGTCTTAACGGGGCAGTGATATCATAAACCTGTTAATGTACGCATTCAAACGCTTTTTCTTTTACCAGCTGTATTCACCTTGCAGGTGCAGCTATGTGGCTTTTATCCTGGATAAAGTGTTTAAATCATCATTTCATTTCATTTCAAACCTTTATTTATTCAGGTTGTATCCCATTGAGATCATTGACCTCTTTTTCAAGGGAGACCTGCTCAAGTAGGTTCCACATGAAACATTAAAAACATAAACAGAACAACAAAAGGACATCATACAGTAGCATTACAGGGATTACAAATTACATACTATCCACATGCACAGGTACCAACAGCTTCCGATTCAGTAGCATCCAACCGAGCTTTAAAAACATTTAGTGGCAACAGATTGCTCAGTTTCCATTTTAATTGCAGACTATTCCAGGACAGTGGAGCTGCGCATCTAAATGCTATTTTCCCTAAGACAGTCCTAGCAGTTGGCACATTTAATAAAACCACAGCATGCGATCTCAGGCAGTAGCCACTTACAATTCGCCGTGAGATCAGGGAGCAGATGTAGGATGGAAGTTTCCCTAACATGGCTTTATATATAAAAATGTACCAGTGACTGAGCCTCCGTGCAGTTAGTGAAGGCAGACCAGCCCTTGCATACAGGGTACAGTGATGGGTTAATGCTTTACAGTTTGTCACAAATCTCAGTGCACTGTGATACGCAGCATCTAACTTGACCAGGCAATTGGCAGGTGCATTCATATAAATCAGATCACCATAGTCCAGCACAGGTAAAAAGGTCACAGTGACTAGCCTTTTTCTGGCCTCGAGCGAGAAACAGGACGTGTTCCTGTAGAAGAAACCTAGTCTAACCCTCAGTTTTTTAAGCAGGTTATTGACATGACGTTTAAAAGTGAGACAATCATCAAGCCAGATACCAAGGTATTTGTAACAGGCAACCACTTCAAGTTTTATTCCTTGCGTAGTTAAAATATCTAAAACAGGCTCTGGTGTCTTTTTGGCTTTTGAAAAGAGCATTACCTTGGTTTTATCAACATTTAAAAGAAGCTTTAGTTCAGAGAGCTGAGTCTGAATAATGTTAAAAGCAGTTTGCAATTCAACAACAGCCTCCTTAATGGAGGGACATGCACAGTACATAACGGTATCGTCCGCATAAAAATGTAAGGTTGCTCCATCGACATTTTCACCTAAACTATTGATGTAGATGGAGAATAAAAGTGGACCTAAAACAGAACCTTGAGGAACACCATTAGTAATGTTTAACCACTCAGAAGACAGCCCATCAAAATGAACACATTGGGACCTTTCAGAGAGGTAATTCACAAACCACCCCACTGCATGGCTGGATAAGCCAATACTGAGTAGCCTCTGCTTTAAGATACGATGATCGACGGTATCAAACGCTTTGGAAAGGTCAATAAATAGAGCTGCACAGCTCTGCTTATTATCTAAAATACTCGCCACATCATTCACCACTTTCATTGTGGCAGTGATGGTGCTATGTTGCTTTCTGAAGCCTGACTGATGTTTAGACAGGATGTCATTTGTACATAAAAACACCTTTACCTGTTCACTCACTAGGCGTTCAAGAACCTTAGCCAGAACTGACAATTTAGAGATGGGCCTATAATTATTTAAAACAGTTGCCTCCCCTCCTTTCAGCAAAGGCAGGACATACGCTGACTTCCACAGTTTTGGAATTGTGTTTGTGCTGAGGGAGAGGTTAAAAAGAGTAGTGAGAGGTGGAGCAATAAAATCTGCAGCTATCTTTAAAAAGAAAGGTTCCACGTTGTCCGGGCCGGCCGGTTTCTTAGGATCTAACTTGGTTAAAGCTTAACGAACAACATCAACAGTAAAAGGAGTAAAACTGAAAGGGTTTTCCAGACCACATTGTTCAGAGTCACCGACTGTGGTGTTCACAGAAGCAGAGTTAGTCACAGAATCAAACATAGAACCGCAGGACACAAAATGCTCATTAAAACAATTTAACATAGTAGCCCTGTCCGATATAGAGCCAGATGTTGTGGTAATGCACGGAGGTAGCTCATTTCGGATCTCACCGGTGGATAGCGATTTTATGGCTTTCCAAAATTTCCTAGGATTATTTAGGTTTTCTGTAGTAACTGACAAATAGTACTTCGACTTAGCACTTTTGACCTGTGAAGTGAAGCTATTTCTTAGTTGCCTAAAACGCAGCCATTCAACCTCTGAGCCTGATTTCCTAGCCTTTGCCCAGGCCTTGTTTCTCTCATGTAGGAGACTGGACAGTTCAGCAGAAAACCAAGGATTGTCTCGTCCCTTTACTCTAAAAGTACGTAGGGGTGCATGTCTATCGATAATTTCCATAAAACCAAGATAAAAATAAGACCATGCAGTTTCAACATCAGCACACAGATCGATTTTTCCCCAATCAAACCCAAACAGATCATGAACAAAACCCTGCTCCACAAAATGTTTTATGTGTCTCTTAATAATAATACGGGGTTTAACCTTTTGGACCTTATGGCGCGTTTCCACTACACGGCCTCGCTCGGCCCCGCTCGGTATGGCTGGGCCTCGTTAGGACTGGCTCACTTTATGGCGCATTTCCATTACAGTTTAGGAACTGGGGTAGTATCTATAGTAACGCAGTGTAGGCGGAGCCGTGACGTCATCTTCAATGAGAACCCCAGAAAAACAACACAGCCGTTAGCTGTTAGCACTCAGAGCTCACAGCTCCTCATATATGTTCAGAAACTAGACAAAAGTTAAACAAGTACAAACCACAGACTGCCTGTGTCATGGCGAATACAGTCGCTGCTTTATTTATGTCTGTATAGGCCGTTGTTGTGAGTGTGGACGGTCGGAGCATATACTGCGTTAGCTTAGCCAATCTCCATTTAGAAAACACGCATTTTAAAAGGTTTTTCGCCTGCCGTCTGTCTGCAGACTTGTCAAAGCATTAATTCATGGTTTTTACTAACCGGTATCAGTATGTTGTTACTTCGGCATCATTTTGAAACGTGTATTACAATTAAATCACGGTCAAATATGTCCATCTTGTTGTAGTTGTAGCCCCCTTGCCAGCGATTCTCTCTCTAGTTTAGCATACTCAGCCCGACTCAGCCTCGTTGTCTCTGGCCCTAGACCCACGATTTTATGAGGCCAGAAAAACTGTGAATTAGGACCCGCCGGCCGGTACTAGGCCAAGTGGAAACGCAACCAAAGACGGGCCGCTGACGTCACAGCCCTCTTAAACCGGGCTGCGCGCTGTAGTGGAAACGCGCCATTAGTGTCCCTAATTGTGGCTACAACACAGTGGTCACTCACATCATGGATGTTTAAAGTTTAACTTCTTCATATTTGACTAATATTAAAGTTCACTTTTCATTCAGGAAGTATGACGCTGCGCTGTCAGTACGCTTGTCCATGTTTGTGATTGGTAGAATGCTCCAAATACCACCCCTTTCATGTGAACACGCACCTTACTAGATAGGACACGGCTGGCTTGAGCGATCCACTTGATAACCAGCGTCGTAGTACAGCTTAGCGAGAGCGCGTATGTTTTGGATTGGGCCAACCGGCTAACTCAAACATATCCGGGTTAGGTTGAACCAGCTTCGTAGTACAGGCCTCTGGTTTTGTTGAGTATGTTATGAGTTTTCTTAGTTGCTTCACTTTGTGCACTTCAACACTCTCACACATACATGTCCATACAATCCTCACCCTGCATTTACACGACTGATACCACTGATATTCACACCTCATGCCTCATGTTAGTTTTGCACTTGATTAATTTGGTTAATTTGAACTACTTGTTTAAATAAACATCTTTTTCTACCCGTGAACATGTTGTGTCTCCTCTTTGTTGTGGCCTTTTGAGCCAGGTCGCAAAAGTATGATATGTGGTGTAGTGGGCTGTCACTCAAAAATGTAGTAGCCAAATTCCCGCCCACCTGGGACGTTTGTGTCAAAATCGAAAACAAAAAATGAGGGAGCGCAAACTAGAAGAGCTGCAGCGAGAGCAAAAGTCTGATCATTGAGAAAGAAGCAAAGAGAACTGCAAACAAAAAGTTGTTTGCAATTTATAGTTTTATTTTTTAAATTACATTTATTTTGCTTGACTCAGTTTTTTTTCTCTTAAACTCTTAGTTTTGCTTGATTCTGAGAAAGTGTTGCTTTATCTTTATGAAACAAAACTAATCCCATAGATTTGTCGCTAGTCGCTTTTGACAAAAAAATGTAGCCGGAGGGTTTGGAAAGTCGCCCGATTTAGCGAGAAAGTCGCCAAGTTGGCAACACTGCACTCGCTAGGTGGCAGTGTCACGAACAACTAGGGTCCTACTCATAGACTGTATATATAACGGTCCTACTCCTAGGAGTGCGGTCCCAGGACTGCGTCCTGAAACTGCAGTCTCCGACGCTGCAGCTTCATGCTACTCCCCATGTCGCCTATGCCAAAAACCGGCCCTGATTATATAAAACAGTAATTAGAGTGCAGGTAACAGCAGTAGATCATTTATTTTATTCAACTGTATGAGGATATTCCTTACAGTCATCCTTCATCATTCTACAGGCAGGAAACAACCCCAATCTGTAATCAATTAATATAAACTCTTCATCGCCTTTTCCAGTTTTCAGAGTCTCAGGAATGTGACATGTTCTTAAGTCCCGCCCAAAGTCTCTCTCAACGTGATCACACATTGGCTGTTTCGCTCCAGCGCTTCAAACCACCAGCTGCATGGAGCCCTCTGATTGGCCGGAGCCCTGAACACGTCTGAGCAGTGCAGTTTAAAGAGAGAATAATCATATGTGCGTAGTGAGACAAGCAGGCAATACCTTTTCTTTTTGAGGAAAAGGACTGGACATTTCCTGCAAGCGACACACACCAGCACCTGCTTCATTTAAACAAAGATACTTACAGTCATTTTTAAACTCCAAGAGGAAGAAGGTGGGTGTGTTTCCGGGTTTAGTTCAAATGAGCAAGTCATTCATTTGATATCTGTTTCTTAGTTTTTCATTGACAGAAATAGTACTAGGTGGTCTGACAGTAATTGCTTAGAAAATCTATTCCGTTTTGTAATTAAGGGATGCCGGACAGAGTAGAGGCAACCAACGATGCTCTGTGATTTTAGGTGACGCATTTACGAGTGGCGTACAAGTATTGGGACTTCCTGTCCCTTTGTTGGCTCGGTCTTAAATATTTCTGTTTTACAAAAGTAATGGATTAAGCTTAATTACTATAACTAACACGTTTTTTCATTAGATGTTGCCTTAACATTTTGACAAAGTTGTACAAAATAAGTGCTGCGTTGCCAGATCTCTGGTGAGTCTGTTCCTGAGACTGATACCTTTGTTTAAAATGACGTACTTTTCCTGAAAATGTAATCGTATATAAAATGTCAATTTTTTCGTGGCCGTGTTCGAAGGGTAATTGACTTGTGGCCTGGGTACTTTGTTGTCTGTAAAGATAAAGAATTTGTCATAATCTGTAACCGACTCAGAACTGCTTCAGGTCTCCTGAAGAGGCGTGGTCCGGGGTAACGGAAAGTTATTCATGGGGTTGCCAGTTTGGGCTGCAACCTTTACAGTCTATGGCTGCGACACATAGCGTGGGGCAGTCCAGCTAACTGCAGGACACTCACTACTTACTTTTCAACTGCATGTAAATAGATATTTTGTATTACCTGTCAATAAGAATATTTACGTTTGATTATGATATCATTGATATGTAATAACTGGAGTAGATTTAATATTAAATCATGTGTTTTAATTTTTTTATTTGACTTGTTGGGTTGCACTGGTGTATGAAATGTGAAACATGCATACTTTGCATGGATTTATTATGAGTAATCTGGAAACAGTCTTGCTCCTCAACTGCATACATCTTCATGTTGCTATGGCAACAAGGGCCAAACTGTATTAGCATATTTTAGCTTAGCTTTATCTGAAAAACAATAAAAGCCAGCTGCTGCCGCTGCAAGTCAGTGACAACAACCCTCAACTATAGTGCCACTGCCTCTTGTTTGCTCTATTCAAAAATTATATTGATTAAAATCTTGACTTTGGCCATCAATGATTCCTATACTGTAACGTTTGTCCATCTAATTTGGAAATGTATACATAGGCCTACCTGTAAACTGTGGCAAGATACTTTTTAGATTCATCTTAAATATTACCACTTATCTTGGATACATTTTTAATACATGTATACACTAATAAACACAATAACATGTGTGTATGTGTATTGCAAACCGATTTTAAATATTTCCAGATACAGAGGAAGACATTAAACACATTATCTTTGTTTCTCTTTTTGCAGATTCTGCAGCCATGTCTTTCAACATTGATGTCAACAGCCCTAATGTGAGGTACACAGATACACACATTGAGTCCGAGTATGAGTACCAGACCTCATCCGTTCACAAAGAGGGGAACAGAGTCACAGTAAGTGGACCTTTCTGACAACCTGAGACATGCATCAGTGTTTGGCATCTGTACAGTGTCCTTGTAAAGTTTTCTCTTTATTGGGAAACAGGTGACTCCCCGCACCACCAAGATGACCTTCCGCACAGACAGACGTGTGCCCAAGCTGGGTGTGATGCTGGTGGGATGGGGAGGGAACAACGGGACCACAGTGACTGCAGCCGTGCTGGCCAACAAGCTGGATCTCACCTGGAGAACCAAGATGGGAATGAAGGTTAGATGAGTTACAGAAAGACACCTGTATAAATACAAATAGGGAAAAGTGTGGGGAAACCAGTGGCACAGACTTAAGATGTGCTGTATTTGAGATGGTTACTCCACATTAAACAGGATTATTCTGCATCCTTAAAAGTCTTCTCCCAAAATATTGTCTCACAACTCATAAAAAAAGAATAATTACAAAATGCATCTCTTATAATGTCACACAGATCTAGATATTGGAAAAATGTGCGTACAATTTTTTTTCTTAACTTCGATAATGATGACGCCTTAAATCTAATGAACCTTAACTGAAGAAACCCTGTAAAACCACTTAACTTTGACAGTTACACGCCTGGCTTTGATTATGTAACCATACTGTACAGAAAGGAATGCAAACCAGTTGCTGACTGCTTGAAAAATAGTAATCTCTTGTATAAAGCTTACATTTGTAGTGTTGCAGCTACATCATGAAACACTGCAATTATTCTTCTTTCAACAAAAACGTCTAGATTGTGAATGAAATCTTTATAACCAGACTATCATGTGATGTGAGAAACCGTTGACTGCCAGTAAGAAGCTAATAGAGAAACTTTTGTCCTATTTTATAAATATGTCCCCCGATACAGTGGTACAGACTCATTATAAGCTGGTTATGCTGACATGCTCAATAGAGTGTTAAGGGCTTAACTGAGTCTGGGCTCAGGGATTTCCCTTATATGGGCATACATTGTTGCCTTTATGAGCTTGTTCCTCTGGTTCATTGGATTTAATACACTTATAAAACCTTAAACCCATTTAAATAAAAAAGTCCTTAAAGGGAATTTAACCAGTGTCTTTATCTCCTTTATCTTTCACATTCTTCAGAAAGCGAACTACTTCGGCTCCCTCCTGCAGGCGTCTACTGTTTGTCTGGGATCAGGGCCAGAGGGCGAGGTCAACGTGCCCCTCCGTGACCTCCTACCCATGGCGCACCCTAATGATATAGTCTTTGACGGTACGGACAATTACTGATATTCTGCTCAAGGTTTAAGAACTGATACAAAACTTGAGAGTGAGGTAACTGCAGTGTTAACAGCAGGGATTTCTGGCCTCAGGGCAGCTTCATGGAGAGCCTCTCCATGAGGTAAAGATGGTCAGAGGTGTCCTTAACTGCAATGTAGTCTGTTACTTCATAAGGGAATAGCTTTAACAGGGTAATCTATTCATAGAGCTTCTGTAGACTTTTATAGGATCAAAGTAATGACTCTCATAAGTCAGCCCTTTTAGATTTGAAGGAATTCAGTGTTTTTTTTTAACTTTGAAGTGGGTTTGTGTTTTTAGGCTGGGATATTTCCTCAATGGATCTTGGCAGTGCGATGGAGAGAGCTCAGGTGTTCGACTGGTCTTTGCAAGAGCAGCTGAGACCTCACATGAGCGGCCTGAAACCCAGACCCTCCATCTACTTCCCTGATTTCATCGCGGCAAACCAGGAGGATCGTGCCGACAACGTCCTCACTGGGAGCATGGCGGAGCAGGTAACCCTCGGTCTGTTACACCAGCAGGTTTAAGGGTGCTTTCAAACCTTTAGTCCAGACCAAGGGGAAAATAAAATATTGTTGCACTATAGCTCTTGGCTGGTTCATGTTCACATTGACAGACATTTATGCAGCTCTTTAAAGCTTCTGATTTGTATATTAATGTTCTTTGGTGTCACAAGGAATAACTGATTATAAGCATTAATCGTATTATTAGACTGCAAAACGACTATTAGGCTAGCGAGGCTCTAGGCTACAAAAGCTGCACATGAAGCATACAGTAATGAATGGGGGCTGATTACTGTGAGATTGCGTCAAACACTTCTTAATGGAGTTAATGGACTGATAAAATACATGGAGTCGGATACATGCACAGCAGTTTTAACAGCTTTTGACCCATTACTCAAGGGAAATACCCCTGCTGACGCGCTTAAGTGTTGATATGCATGAATAGGGTATATACTTCCTTATACAGATACATCATAAGATCACTTCCTAATTAGATTTTATGATCATTAGATGGATTTAGTTTTTAAGCTTTTGAAATGTTGCCAAAATCACACATCTGCTTTCCTTGAAATCCTTTGGTTGGTTTTTACAAACAAACTGCAATAGAGTCAGTTGTCCTGTCCACTCTAAGGTTTGAATGACAGCTTAACACCAGACAAAATGAACCGTACTAACCAATCAAACAGACCTGAGTTAAACCAAACAGGTGAAATATGTGAAAGCACTGCAAGTCTCTTTATTAGCATTTTCATTTTGTCCTTTCACATTTAGGCGCCGTTTACACGAGGAGAAAACTGCTTGGATCTGCATAGTTTCGCGTGCGTATAGCCCTATTATTTACACGAGGCCGATAGAAACTGACCCCACAAACGATAACGGGTCCCAAGGTGGATAGATTTGCAAACGAAACGCTCTGGGGGGTCAACCGAGTCCGTGTAATCACCTCTATACGAATATTTCCTGAAAAAATAACGATAGCCCCACCTCTCCTGCTCACTGCTGTAGCAACTATCAAAAATAGCTGTGTTAATTAAACGCACAAGGGGTTCTTGAACGAAATAATATTATAAAAGGCAAACCAGAATTGTTAACGCCCAATATACTCCTTAAACAAAATAAACAGTCAGATTTCATGCATTGATCCATTATATTGACAAAGGAGCGATCTCACCCGGTGTTTGTAGAGAATATCTCTCTTTCTGAGCCGTCCTCTCCACAGAGACGTGCTTCTTGGTCGGTCGATGCAATATCCACAGATTCGGTTTCTTTCAGTTAACTTCCCCGTTGCATTTATCCATATGCTGAGGAAATTACTATATCCCGCTGAATACCAGCAATCGCCACACACACTTCCTCCTGTCAGTAGCCACTGCTAGTGCTACTGCTACTGACCATGCTACAGATATTAGTGCAAAATCTACAGCTCCTCTACCACAACCATCAGCAACAAGTGGACATGGAGAATTACATGAACTACATGTTGCTAAATACACCGCGGGGCATAAACAGAAGGGTAGCCATGGCAACATTGCTGCGGGGCTGCTCCAGGCTGGTCTTCTTCGCTGCTTTTGGTGTATTTTGGCGGAAGTTACAGCGCCACTTACAGTCCCGGCATATGTACTACAGCGTTTCCAGCGGTCTCGTTTGAACAGACACGTTAAATGAAACGAATGCATGTGAACGGAAGACTTTTTTGAATACGCATACTGTGCATAAACGCAAACGTTCCCGTGTGAAGGAGGCCTTAATGTCTTATCTGACTGTGCTTTTCTAGATGGAGCAGATCAGAGCTGACATCAGAGACTTCCGTCAGTCGAGTGGTGTGGACAAAGTCATTGTTCTGTGGACCGCCAACACCGAGCGCTTCTGTGATATCATACCTGGGGTCAATGACACTGCCAAGAACCTGCTTGCTGCCATCAAGGTGAGAGCCGGAGCTGTGAACAGAGTTTGGTCAGAAAACTTCCAAACGTATAAAATATATTCCAAAGTTGAAACTCTAAAGAGACCGATCCTTAAGTGTGTTACAGCAGAGATTAACTTAAATTGTCCTAGAAACCAACCTAAATTGTGATGGTGGCCAGTAGTCATGAATTCAACTTTAATTTCCTCCTAATGCCGAGGACCAAACAGTAATCCTTCATCACATTTAGTGATTAATAAAGCTTAGAGGATGAGGAGATTAGCTCCCCTAACACTTCACTGTGGATTTGTAGATGAAATGCCATAATGAGTCAGCTTTTCCTTTTATATCAGATCAGGGGAAGGAAATTATGATTTGCTCCTCATGGATGAGTTTATTTTTTTATCTCCCGTCTTCAGCATGCTTGTACTGCTGTCAGCAACGATAATAGTCTATTTCACAGACTTGTGATCTTCAGCAAATAGCTCAATTTCAGATAGGCATGAAGGCAACAATAGAATTGTGCCGCAAAGACGATGTGAGGAGAGTCTCGGGGGAAATAAACGCCTCGTGAGTCAAGCTGTGATGATGCACTCGTTTACAGACATGATTTCTTTGTTTTTTTCTCTACATCGTCAGACTGGAGCAGCGGTTTCTCCCTCCACTCTGTTTGCAGTTGCCAGCATACTGGAGGGTTGTGCCTACATCAACGGCTCCCCGCAGAACACCTTTGTACCTGGAGCCATAGAGCTGGCCGTGCAGAAAGGAGTGTTCATCGGAGGAGACGACTTCAAATCCGGTCAGACCAAGATCAAGTCAGTGCTGGTTGACTTCCTGGTCAGTTCAGGTATCAAGGTGAGAAAAAAATGGTGCGCTGATAGAAGGAAGGAGGATTAATGAAGTAACGATCTGATATCAACCAGATTGAGTGGTTGTAACAATCACGAAAAACTATATAGGCTAAAATACGGGGGCTTATGATTTCAGAGATGTTTTTATATCCAAGAGGAAAAATTCAGAAACAATCAAATATCATCTGGTTCAGATAACTATATTTGTCCCATTAACCTCTGTATGTTTATGTGTAAAGGTATGGGGACATAATTATTCTATTCTGTAGAATAAACCAATGCCACACACTGCAGCATTTATAGTTTTGGTTTGGTTACACACATCAAATCTCAGATGTTTACAAGAAAATAGAGACGCATCAATTCAAGACACATACTTATACATTAAAGCACCGTGAACATATTTAAATCTAATCATTTGGAATGTAGCAACTTCAGTAAATCACTTAAATTCATCGAGCCCTAATTCACAATCATGCCTGCGATGGCTTTAAAATATATATTTATAATCTGGGTTCCTTTTAGGATAAACATAACGGGTCAAACAAAGAGGACGAACCCTAAGGGAGAGCTCCAGTTGAATTGTCCAGACACAAAATAAGATGACAGCTTGAAACTTGCACTACACTGTATTTCCTGAACAAAGACATTTCAATAAGTTCCTCCCCCCCCCCCCCCCCCCCCCCCCCCCCCCTCGACAGCCGAAATCCATTGTCAGCTACAATCACCTCGGCAACAACGATGGGAAAAACCTGTCTGCTCCGGAGCAGTTCCGCTCCAAGGAGATCTCCAAGAGCAACGTGGTGGATGACATGGTGCAGTCCAACCCCATCCTGTACCAGCCGGGAGAGAAACCTGACCACTGTGTGAGTGACTCAGACTCAGAAAGTGAATGAGCTCCATGTAAAATCTGACTGAAGACAACACACTTGTTAACTGTCTCTGTTCTTTCAGGTGGTGATTAAGTATGTCCCCTATGTGGCCGACAGCAAGCGCGCCATGGATGAATACACTTCTGAAATAATGATGGGAGGGACCAATACCATCGCACTGCACAACACCTGCGAGGTCAGTGGCCGCTAAATCTGTTTCTGTAAAACATGAAAGTGAAAAATTGTAAAATATGGCATATCAGAGCAATTTCCAATGTGAGGGTTCAAATTGTAATTGCTTGCTCAACACAACGTTCAAAGCGTTTCTTCTTTATCTGACAGTGGTTATGGTGGCGGAGGCTCAGGAGTGCTAGAGCTTACTGTTAATCCTTCTTAGCAAGTTTTGGAGCTAATTTAAAGAGACATCTTCACGTCATTTACAAAGTTATTTCATGTTTCACTGGCCTACCTGCTTTAATCCACCACCATTTCTTCACGAAAACACCTACTCTGGTTGCATGACTATGCCAGGTTAACCAAATGTTTATAGAGAACACAATGTGTTAAAAAAATGCTCCACATAAGTTGCTTGAAAATAACTACTTTCCTATCTTATAAATGGTGAATTTTTTGTTAACTAGAACAACTAAAGTTGTCGAATCATGGTTTAAAAAAACAGCCAAACGCTTGAAACAATGTGGTGTCATTTTATCTGCATCAGTGTAGTTGGCACCAATGCCAGTCTGTATGATATGAAAAGTTTTGATTTGGTGACTCCCAGTGGTAGTCTTAAAAAAGTCACTGCTATAGTGTAGAATAGATGCTATTCCTGCAAGTGCACATTATGTTGGTTGAGAAAAAATAAATGTCTTCAACTTCTCCGTTCCCCCTCGATTACACCATTACTCAACTGTCTTTCTTCCTGTCACTTTCTGCAACAGGACTCTCTGCTAGCCAGCCCGATCATCCTGGACCTGGTGATCCTGACGGAGCTCTGTGAGCGTATTGCTGTCAGACCCCAGGGGGAGGAGGACTTCCAGTCCTTCCACAGTGTCCTGGCCCTGCTCTCCTTCCTCTGCAAGGCCCCCCTTGTCCCATCAGGGACCCCGGTCATCAACGCATTCTTCCGCCAGAGGGCCAGCATAATAAACATCATGAGGTATGGACAGGGCTAGCTTTAATCTCCATAAAATGTTCTTTTCATTTTGCCAACAACGTCCTCTTTTCATTTTATTACATTATTGGTCAAGTTATATCATCATTGGGTTTTATCACATCCTTTATCACATCCACAAAGGTTACGGTGTGATTTTTCAGGAGCTTATTCTATTGGGTGTTACAATGCTTATAAACAGGTGTGCTATTTATGCGTTTCATTCGGTGACAGAAGTTGATAACAGTCTCCCGCCTTGTCTTTTTCAGAGCGTGCCTGGGCCTTCCTCCCCAGAACCACATGCTGCTGGAGCACAAGCTGCAGAGGAACTTCCTGCCTCCACAAGCAGCCTACATCAACGGTCATGTGACTGCTTCAAAGAAAGTAGTCCTCACCAACGGTAACCATGTGCCGCAAACAAATGGCATCCATGCACAAGGCGGTGACGCAGACATTGCATTATGACATTATAACACTACAGCCCAACAAGTGAAACTTAACAACACTTAACTGTAAAGTTGATTTGTCTATCATTGCAAAAAACAATAACACTAGTTTTACAACTTTCAAAGTAAACTTGACATTTATGTAGGATGCATTTAACAACATAGGTATTCAACAAGTTTTGGCCTATTAAAAAAAAATGGCATGGTGCTGCAACATTTAAATATCATTAATGCAGTCGTCCTCTATAGCTGTTGAGCATCAACAGAGGCATATATGGAGTACACTTCAATAATCTCCACGTGGCGTAACAGTGTTCAAAGCAGGCTATTTTGTTAAAAATATCTGTTTTTTTTAAGCAGAGTTAACCATGTACTGAATATTTTAACGAGTAAAAGCTTTTTATTTGCTTGTAAGTAGTTTTGTGTGTGCAATGCATATTTAATATCCAATTGTACAGTAACGTTCTTAGAAATAGGTTCATATGTTTAACAAACATGAGACTGATCGTGCAGCCATTTAAAAAAAAACGTTATTGATAAATGATGTATTTGTTGTTTGATGATCGAAGGCCATCTTCCTAACTTACTGTATGTTGGTATGTATATCACGGCCATTATGTAGACATCCATATGTTTTGTTTAAAGATAGATGATGAAAATATGGATGCTGTATTGACCGTTTTGTTTAGCAATAACCTGGGCTGTTATCATGTTCTATACATTAAACCTTAAAATATTGCTTAAAGTGGACCTATCATGCTATATTTGAATAATATAGTGTAGGACCATACCTATATAAGGCATATTTATACTTTTTTTTTTTCAAAATACCAAACAGATCATGCATTTTAGCCATGCCTCATTTTGCTCAATTTGACATTTTTTAGCTCTGTTTTTGCAAGGGCAGATTCAGTGAGAACAGCACCATCTAGAGGCCTGGCATATGTACTACAGCGTCTCCAGCGCTTTCGAACGGCAATGGCCGTGGCTGTCTCCTCCTGATTGGTGGAGTTGGCCCAATAGCCGTAGCGCCACTGTCCTGACGTCAGGACAGTGTTCAAATCTGGATCAGTTTTTATCAGATCCGTTGCAGCCCCTTTTTTAGAGATTTGGGTATGGAGGAAAATAGAGAGGGTTGTGTTTTCTGACACTTGGTGAGTTCCCTGGAACACCGGGGACACATATTCATGTGTAAAAGACGTACAAAAGTGCATTTTGCATGATAGGTCCCCTTTAAACGTAACATTTCTGAGGCATTAATTGTTGTTTACATTTTTTTTAAATGTACCTTTCCCTCTATTGAGCCACATCTGAAGTTACATGTATTTTATTTGCATTAACGAGCAATGGCGTTTGTTGCAATATGACACACCATATGAAAAAACATGGTAATGGTAAAAAAAGAATGGGTAAGAACAATGTCATCTACTGTTTTAAAATGTTATTTGTTTACATCTATTCCTCAAACAGTTTCTGATTCAAACAAAAAATTAAACTGTACACAAATGTACAAACATTAGCTTCCACATATACCTTATCCTCAAAGAAATGTATAACTAAAAAGTATTGGTTTGTTGTTTTGGTGCTTTATCTTAGCCTGTATTGTATCTGCACTAGTATGTAAAATGATTCCTAACTGTGGTAGTGTAACAACTTAGAATGTTGTTATTATTCCATATTCTTAATCTGTGTTTCACTTAACAGCAACATCGTGTTCAGATTCTATTTCAGTAAATAAAATGGATTTCACAAAGAGTGAGAGGAATGGGAATTAATGAGCACCTTAACATTAGGGATCAGAATCCCTACGCGCCCCAGAACGGACTATTTGACGCGTCAGACTGCGTCCCTAGCAACCAGCAGACAGAGCGGAGTGATTTTGGAGACAGATCTTCTTTTTTAAGGCTTTCGGCTGTTGTAGAAATCGGATAATTTCGCTGCTTTTTCTTGCGATATGTAACACCGAAATAAACCGGTCCATTTCCTGTCTCCCGACGTTCTTATTATACATCCATGCTCCCGACCGGTATTAAATCACTTCCGTTGCTGCATCACGGGACGTCATCAGCTATGGCGGACAAGGAGAAGCGCCGGTCCGGGGCAGCTCCTCCAGGGATGCCCGATGGGAAAGCCACCAAATCGGACTGCGACAGGGAGTTTCTGTCGCAGGCCGGGGTGGGAGAGCTGCTCCGCGGGGCCATTCTGAAGATGGTGGAGGCCAGGTCGGACGATCCCATCGGGTTCCTAGCCGACCACTTCTGTAACCTCGCCTCGGTGACAGAGCCCGGCACAGCTGGATGCGGCGATGCGGATCAGATGAACAACGGGCCGCAGAGCGCGCAGGAGCAGCAGCATCTCAATCGGGCTCTGTGGCACCTGCGGCTGGCACACCACTCCCAGAGGTCAGGGCACAGAGATTTACGGTCCTAAACCACAACCCTTCGACATTGCTTTTTTGAAATAATGAACCAAATATTATTCTAATAGAACATATGATTATACTTCAGCAGTCTATTTAATTAAGCAAATGTTATCTTTTGCTCTTTGTAATCTTACATTAGTGTCATTTTGAAACCTCTATAGCCTCTATAGTGATATAAGATAAAACAAATTAATCATTGCTCTCTGTGCATGTTTATGAGAGACTGTAGAAGTCTGTTGTTTTTGGGTCTGTGTGACCACCTATGTAGTCAATTATTTTTCATAGTCAATTGCACTGATAAGAAACTGCGAAATGTAAGTTTTATAGTGTAACAAATGGCTAATCCTTGGTAAATTATTTACTGTTTATCCTCCTTCACCATGACACTTAAGTTACTCTTGTATCTTTTGAATTCACCAATTAGATGGAACTGCGCAATTGATTGATTTATTAACAATTTATCTTTACTACCGCCTTGGAATATTTTAAGAAGCCTTGACAGAACGTGATAAATGACCATTAAAGACTTAAGTTTATTGTCAGTCACTCAACAGAAATAGAGATTTTGCATTATCTGTGGCAAAATAATTTCCTTCAGAATGAACAAAAAGTGTTGTTTTATCTTGTATCTTATCTTATTTGATCCCATTTCTCATTTTAAACCCAGATCTGCCTTCAGCAACAACGTCTGTGTGGCCTACGACCTTTTAAACAGCACCGGGCCTCGCAGACGTCCAGCTGAGGTTCCTGAGTGCCCTGAAGGCTCCTGTACCGACAGCCAGACAGAAGTGGGAGGGGGAGTGAGGGGAGGCCTCTACACACAGACTCTGCAGTGCCTGTGCAGTGAAGGTGGAGTCCCTGCCTCCACCTCCGCCCCGCTCCTTCGACGCCTCCATTGCCAAGACCACGAGGCCGTCCCTTATGATGTCTTCCGTCACGGTGTGCTCACATGTGCAGTTTTCTCAGACTACATCCGGCAGGCTCAGAGGCTTTACGCTGAGGTGTGCTGCCCTGACGAGGGGCCTGCCTCGCGGGCACTTGGCCTGGCCGTGCTGGGGACGTTAAGGGAAGCCCTGGAGACTTCCCAAGGCAGTGAGGCTAACTCCTGTGTTAATGCTAATACTAAATCTAATTCCTGTCTGGAGGCTAATGTTAAAGCTAAGCGCTACCTGGAGGCCAGTGCCAAGATTTCCCCATACAAGCTTGGTCAGGCCATGGCTACAGCCCAGACAAGGGGCCCCAGGGGGAATATGGATGCAAAGGAATTTGAGAACGCAGCCGCAGAGCTCTTTATCACTCGGGTGAAAGTTTTGTCCTAGGTTTTTTTTTGCCCGTTTCTCATAATTTATGAATGTAAAACAATCTGAAGTATGTTCTAGAGTTAATAAATACCTTCTGTGCACCTCCTGTAACCTCAAATCTACACTTACATATATTACCTCTGCTCAAGAATGCCACTCAACCCTATAATTCCATTGTTTGGAAGATAACACTTGTAAAACATATTGTTTGATGTCTATAATTTAACTTAATAAAGTGGAAGAGATCTTAATTTAACTACAATTTGAAATGTAATCATTTAACAGTGTATTCTTTTGACATTAAATTATTCTGGGTACAAATATTAATCATTTAAAACAATATTTAAATGCATTCCTGTCTATTGCATGCAGCTATTGGAAAACATATAGAAAAATGACTAACAATACACTTTTCATGAAATGTATTATGTCTTATACTGAATGCTAAAACAAAAGTCAACAAATAGGCCCAATCTCCATTTACATGTGTATATTTTAATTTGTATTTGTTATAAGAGTTATATATTAACCAACAGACTCTATATAAAGGTAGTGACATACAGTAATCGACAACACTTCTTACATTCATCCACTAGATGGCAGCACCAGCAGAGGCTGAAGACCGACACAAACAGAAAGAAAGCGGAAGTACACCACTTTACGCTTTGTAGTGAAATGACAGTAGCGTTAGCTGTGTCGAGGCTCTTCATTTACATTACATTACTGTCACCACTGTACCTTAATGCCGTGCGTGCTGCCTCGTGGTTACACTTGTCCACATGGAGGAAGAGGAGCAGCTGCGGCCCTTCATGTTCCTGATGACTTACATGCTGCTGAAGCGCAGGAGAGATTTAAACAACGCCAACACTCAGAGGCGCGGTGAGATCCAGAGACGCATCAGACATCGGCAGTACTTCCTCCAGAGGCAGAGGAGGATGCTCATGGTCAGTCAGTCCCTCTCTGGCTCTTTTCATATCCAAGCATATTCACCGTCATATGTAAAGGCTAAATATGGCATTCAATCAGGCTACATTACATGGCACAACAACAGTTTATAAACATTAGATTTGTGGTTTGTAAAAACACTATTTGTGTGAGACTTATTCATTGAAGTAAGCTAGAGACCCTCCCAAGCCCCCCCTCCCGATTAACTTTTCACATTTTACAGTCAATTGGGTCCAGTGTTTGTCTCTTCCTCTTTCCACTTATTTTTTAACAACCTGCTGTGGAAAATACAGACTTATAGAGTATCTCTTGGAAGAGGAACTGAAATAGAGCTGCAGATAATACATTACAAAAAAGGAAAATAAAACCAAAATCCTGCAACAGATAAACCTTTCAAACAAATCAATGCTCTTCAGAGTGCTTTACAAGCAAGGACTTGCATGGTAATTAAATAAAATGAAACAAGTCATGATCATTCACAGAATATAGTCAAAATAAATCATAAAGATGATTATGACATCTCTCTGAATAGTATAACTTTAAAATATAAAACCCTACAACAGAGCCAGGATTAAAAGATTGGTTACTGGTTTTAAAAATATCTATTTCTGCTAAAATACCAGAAAAGTGGCAGTTATACAAACAAAAATAAAAAGTAAAGCCAGGTGCTAGGCTGCATAGATCTCAACAAAGGCGCAGAAAAAAAACACAACAATGCATTGTTTTGACATCTGTTCTTTATCTGTTTGTTATATTAGCAATGATAGAAGAAGTATAGTTTGTTATTGTACTAACCGTAGCAGGTTATATTTAATGTTTTTATATTTATGGCCTTAGATTTCCCTGCTTACACCATTCTGTTGTCAAATGTTGTGAGAGTTGTGACTAGTGAGATACAATTATGTGAATTAATTTAAAGAAAAATGTAACTTTTATTATTAATCTTCTTTTCCCCAGATGATGATAGCAGGAGGTATGCGCTCCAACGTCCGCGTCCGCACACGTCCATGGTCCACCACTCCAAGCACTGATTGGTGGGAGCGGGTGGTGATGACAGAATTCCAGCCCTCTGATTGGCTCGATAAGTTTCGAATGAGCAGGGAGACGTTCTTCTACCTGTGTGACAAGCTGAGGCCCCGTCTGGCTCGCCAGGACACCAGCTTCCGCCTGGCGCTGCCGGTGGAGAAACGCGTAGCAGTGGCTCTGTGGCGCCTGGCGTCCAACATCGAGTATCGCACCATCAGTACCCTGTTTGGAGTGGGGAAGTCCACTGTGTGCAGGTGTGTTAGGGACATGTGTCACGCCATCGTGGCACTCCTCAGCTCCATCTACCTGCGGCCCCCCAGTGAGCAGGAGATGGAGGACTCAGCTCGGCTCTTTCTGTCCAATTGGGGCTTCCCTCACTGTGTCGCTGCCGTAGCAACACTCCACACAGCCATCATCACGCCATCAAACAACGCGTCCGATTATGCCAACCCTGCAGGCTGGCTCTCAGTGCTGTCACAGGTAGAGAGGGCGTCCAAAAGTGCTGTTGAAAATATTTGTTTGCTTTTTTTCAGATTTTGACCTTGTGCCTCTTTCTGTGTCTTTTGTGTTTCAGGTGGCTGTTAGTGGCCGGGGGCAATTCTGGGATGTATGTGCCAGTTTCCCAGGTGGGACGGACCCAGCTGACATCTTCCAGAACTCATCGCTGTGTGCCACAGCTGCAGAGGGAGGACTGTCGCCTGCCCTGCCACCTGTCTTCATGGGAAATTCACTCCGGTAAAGTTAAAAGCATGACGGTTGAGTCAGGGTTCAATTCAGTACTAAGTAGGTCACATGTCTCACAAACATAAACAAAATGATCTTTTGTCTCAATGATCCAACCCTTGTTAGCTAAATTCTTGATAAATTCAAGTAAACAGGGGCTGCGTTTACGAACAGCAATACTATTATAAAAACATCTGTTTACATATTTCCTACATCACGTAAAGTATAATCCAAGTCGTATTACACACTTGGTCTCAAGTGCCATTGCTCACAATGGCCATACACTTATATCACATTCTAAAACTTTACTATATAAAACACTTCAGCATAAACAGTTTCACACCAACAAACTACAAGTCGGTGCAAGTATTTTCAATTGGTAAGGTGTTAGGCTAATGGATCCTCTTGGATTTAACTTGTTCTACTACAACATCCGATACACAAATGTGCAGTACTACACATTTAAGGCCATTGTGTTTAGGATTTTAATTGTTGCGCCATAATTGAACCTCAGACCAGTTAGTGCTGCCACAATCCTCTCAAACATGCAACATATTTACAATTAGTATCCGACCAAACTGGTTTAAGCTGGATAAGAGCTTACATTTTGCAATGCGTAGTCATTTTTGCATGTAAAAATCATCTGTTGTGTTCAGGTATGTGCTGCTGGGGGAGGCCTGCTACCCTCTGCAGAGCTGGCTAATGAAGGCCTATCCTGAGGAAAAGGGCAGGGGCAGCAGCACAGTACTGACCCAGCCACAGCGGCGCTTCAATGGGCAGCTCACCAGAGCGCTGCGTGTGTCTGAGGAGGCACTGCTAAAACTCAGGGCACGCTGGCAGTGTCTGAGCAAGAGGAACGACTGTGGACTGGACGTGGTGCCCACCATGATTCTAGCTTGCTGCATCCTGCACAACATGTGTGAGTCCCATGGAGACGCCTTCAGGGCGGAGTGGCAGGTGGAGGTGACAGAGGCAGAGAGCCCTCAGCCCACACACAAACAGCCTTTAACCCACAGCATCGACCAAAGTCAGGCTGAGGAGGTCCGACAACTCTTCCATGACTATTTTGAAGAACAGAATAATTAAAAAAAAAAAATCTACACAAAAGACTAAGCTAAGTACATGTACTTTAAGTATTTGTAATTTCAGTACTTTCCTTCAGGCTACTTCATACTTCAGATCTCAGAGGGGAAACATTGTAGTTTTTACTTCAAAGCATTAGCTCTTTATTGTGTAATTAGTGATGCATCTGGAAGGGTCTATGACTTTCTATGTATCAAGACACTACCCAAGTGTTTTTTTTTTAACAATTTCATTACGTAGTGTATTTCTGTGAAATGAATAGGTACGTTTGTTGTATATTGTGTCGTGTTATCTCATCATTGATTCTGTTTGTTTGTAACCAATGTATAATGTTAATATGTTGTACAAATGTACGTACAAATGTAGAAAATAACAACAACAACTATATAAACCAATATGAACCAATGGACTAACCCTACTGAATGAATACATTGTGAACAGGTGTAACATACAACTCAACTCTAAGGCCACAAGATGTCACTGCTACCACAGCACAAGGCCACCACAGCCATCGTTAAGAATGTGTCTTGTCTGATGCTGCTTGCAGTATAATGCAGTTAAGGATGAATTGATAAAAAGCAGATCCTTATTGAAATGTCCTGATGATCTATTACCACGATGCACCACACTTCCAAGGATCTTTCTCAGCAGTGCAGAGGATTGTGTAGCACTTAATTTAGCAATGATTGCACATGCATTGATATATAAAAACAGCTCTTTCTTATTTATACACATCGGGTTTAGCATCTTCTCACTTGTGTGCTGCTCACTGTCGGATCCCACCCCGAGGACCCGCCTCGTCCATTCAATTGGTCTGTCACAAACCTGTTTCATGCAAGCCTCCGTCTGTCACTCAACACCCCAGTTTCTCCTCCTCCTTGCCTGGCATCAGACTGGTGTGTGTGCCGACCTTGTTCCAGCGACGAGCTACCCCAAAAAGCCAGCTGTTTGCAGCGCATACATTTTTGGCATTAGCCACCGGTCCGGGCACGCATTTAACCCCCTCTTTCAGGGCTGTGGTAGTGTAGCCTTATATTTTACCGTGAAAATGAGCCAGGGCGTGATGGGGTGCTGCCCTGCTATCGCTAGCTAGGCGGACAAATTCCTTCAACCAGCTCGCTGTTCCAATCACTGCGGGTTGACACAACATTAGCTGAGGCGTTGTTAAGTGAGCTAGCGGGCTAGAAAGGCTGTTGCCGTTCCGTGTAATTTATCCTACGGTAGCTAATGTAGTTAGTCAAAAACGGACGCATTGCTGCGGCGTAAATAGTGCAATAACGGTTAATAACGGCAATCACTCTAACGTTAGCTTACTAGCACTACTTTTCACTAGCGCTAACTAGCTAGCTAACGAGACTCAACAGAAATCAACTGTTACGCGTTTGGATGTCAAGACACTGCAGTTTTGAAACAGTTTTGGGCGATTGTGGAGAAAAAATTGGACAACAGTGACAGATGCAAAGATAGAATTGGACGAGCGAATGAGAAGAAGGTGTTAATGATATAAACTAAGTGGCTAATCTGCGGCAGTAATTTTAACATTAGCCGTATTAAGGTAGAGCATCTCTGGGAGGCCCCACCGTCTCCTGACTCCCTCCCCCTGTCCGAATCTCCCGTGATTTGCTGAGAACACCCGGGTGAAGTCGCATTTGCTCTCGGCTTGGGGGGACGACTTGACAGCGAGGCCCCTTAGCTAGTATCCCCTCCCCCCAGTCCCATCCATCCGTCCAGCCCGACAGACCCACCCCTTCACCCCTGAGATCGAAGCGAAGACCGGGGATTCGGGATAAGCTGAAACCGTGTGCCGAGGTCCCGTCTTAACCGGGCTGCCAAAACTAGAGGGGATGACTCTGGAGTCCATGATGGCTTGCTGCCTGAGCGAAGAGGCGAAGGAGTCGAAACGAATCAATGCAGAAATTGACAAACAACTCCGCCGAGACAAGCGAGACTCCAGGAGAGAGCTGAAATTACTTCTTCTCGGTATGTGGCATGCTACATTTCATATACATGTTTATCACCACCTCTTGTGTCGTTGCAAGGAAAACTTGGGCCTTCTTGTCAATGCTAGCTCCTATGCTACTAGTTAAGGCTGCTAGCCTGGTTTCAGTATGAGTAACGTTATGGCATGATTTACAAAATGCGTGGTTTGTCTTGTAGCGTGCTGAGTAAAACAAGGGTTCGCTGGTTATATTGGGTGCATATCTACAAGAACTGGTCAGTCACATATTATGGGTCTTTCCTCGTGTGTTTTGTCTTTGCATTGATGTGCAGACCACCGCTCATTTGGCATCGAAGTTACTAAGATGTCACCGTTTACAGGCTACCACATGCTTGTCAGTGGGCCAGTTTGACAATTTTGACTAGCCCTAAAGCTAATCAGTCGGTCAGATTCAAAGCTGCCATTCTGGTCAGCTAGAAGATGGTTGTTAAAAGGTGAAGATGGTCACTTGATAATAGGAGAAGCAGCAGCAGCACCCGCTTTGGATTGTTTTACACTGTTGCTTTACAGGTTGCATAACATTTGTACAAATGGGTGAGGTTTCAGGTGCCTTAGCTATACAATGCCTGGTGCCCATTCATTCATTTTTTATTTATTTATCTTGTTTATTAATTTGCACCCAGTGTCACACCCGTCCAGAGGACAGAGATACTGAGGGATTTGACCCCTCATCCTGGAGTCTAGCTGAGTAGGTTAGCTATTTTTATAGCTGGTGTGTGGGCAGGTGGGAGCTGCTGTTGAATAAGTTGCTCAGTACTGCATTGATTCATAGTTCTGTGGACACAGAAAGGAACATTAGGCTCTGCTTTATCACAAATGTACTATCATTGCTCTCAGGAAAATGTATTGTGCATGCAGCTTTTTAACAGGCTAACTTGTAGTTGTGTGTGCATGTGACCAGCCAACCACTTAAAACAACAGAGAGGTGTGAAAGCTCCTTGGAAAAAGCGTCAATTTTTAGGACAATTAGAATTATCTAGGTTGCATCCTTCGTTTCAAAACGTTTGCTCCCATTTCCTTGCCCACCAAAAGCAGCCCTGGTTATTTGACATGTGTGTCTCCTTTCATTTCCCTGCTGAATACCTCAGCTCGGATAAGTAGGCCACACTAGAGCCGTACTGTTGATGGGACACATTCTATTCTTTGTTAAACCTTTTATTCACTCTTGCACCCTGTCCTACCTGGTGGTCAAGGTGAGCGTGTAAAAGTGCTGTTTTTGTGTCGCAGTTAAGAAATGCTTTGCTTCTTTGCTGCAATTATATTTCTCTGGCCAGATGATCAATGGAGGGTTTGGGTTGACAAAGTGATTCCAGAATTTTGAAGAAAATAAGGTGATGATTTCCGCTCTGTACATAACATAGCTGGAGTCTGTGGTGTTTTATATTTTAACTATGCATGGTTTTGACAGCATATATCAAAATACACTTGAAGTGTCAGTGAGTGAAAGGCAGAAAGCAAGCAAGAACTGCAGTCAGTCATGTTGTAAGTGGCCCATCCTGTGTGAGTTAAGGCTGTCAGTGGACGCCTGGATAAGGACGTGTAAAGCAGGATTAGTCCAGGTCTTAATAGGCTTGGTTAAACACATCCGCTGCTGAGACTTTGAGATGTCACTGACTCCTATTATCCTCTGGCATTATTCTCAGGCCTGCTGCCCTCAGTGAGATGCCGGCCTCTCCACAACTCACTGGAGGAAAAGGACAACTTCTGTGGCTGAACACTTAATAACCATGCTCCATCAAGTGTATTTTAAAGAAAAAGGGGAAGCTGGATATTGAGCTGCAATATTATGTATATATACTGGACAATTATCCGCCTCAGTTAAATGTAGTAGGAATTGTTCAATCATTAGCTAGCCTGCAGTTCAGATGAGTTGTACATTTGAGTGTTTTCAGTTGCATACTGGGAAAAGCTATTGTATGTATCATAATTGTGCTCACATCTCATGTTTTGTATCTGTATTTATTTCCGAAGGACTCATGCAAGGTGGAAATGAAACTATTAATCGAATATTAATCATAAAATGATACAACAGCAATTCTGATCATCTGAAAATCAATGAATCATTGTTTAAGCAAAGTGCAGTCGGCTTCTATTTTCCGGTTCTCCAGTGAAAAGAGTTGTTCCTAATTTAATTATTTAAAATTGAATATTTGGGGTTTTACAGCACAAACATTGTAACAAAATGTTTGAAGATGTCACCTAAGGGGTAAGGAAATTGTGTCAGGCTTTTTCAAAGTTTTCTGACATTTCATAGATTACAGATGCATTAAAATATTAGAGAGTTAGTTAATGGCATTACATTTGAAACTTAAAAAAAATACACTTTCCAAAAGCTCAATGTGTCTAAAATGTGCATGTTTTGCCCGTGAAGATGTCCAAAATGTAATAAGTTTACAGAAATGAAAATGCAGATGTGGCAAATTCTCACATTTTAGTAGCTGGATCCAGAGAGTGTTTGTAGGCATTTTTCCAGATGGATAGATTCTAGCCTTCCCTGAACAAAGGGTTTTTCTTGCAATTATTCGGGTTCACCGTCTTCTCTGTGTCCCTCTCCCTTCCTGGAAGGGTTTACTAAATGGCCAGAGTGCATGCTAAAGAGCCGTGTCTTGACAAAACATTCAGGTTTGGTTTCTTTTCATGCCAGACACCTGCATTACATTTCCAGACTAAGTATGAGGTGAAAGACAGTTATGTAGGTAAAAGCTGTATCAACATCATGCTTAGCCACATGGTCAGAAAAAACCCAATCTGCCAGGGCTGCAGCGGTGCCCACAGTCTGGCTGCCTGGGACTGAGGCCATATCAGGCCATACCGACAGCTTCCTGCTCCACAGACCAGTGGTTTGCCTCTACTTGGTCAAAACACAGTGGACCAGGAGCTGTGGCCTTTGCTGCATCGGGTAAATGAACTGCTGGAGCGTGCAAACGGTCAGTAAAGTGAGATGGAAGGGCAGACGCTTTAATGTTTCCCAAAGTGCTGACCGAGGCAAAGTGTAAGCTCCCAGTCTGTCAGTGTACCAGTTGGCATTCGCTTTTCAGGAAAATAAAGGTTTGACATGAAATATGAAGAACAGAATGCCTGGCAATCTGGGATAAATCCCTAGACAGATATTGGAAAGGCATTTTAAGCACAGTGTTTAAGAAAGGGGTCAGACTGGGGCAAACCGTGTGGATGGCTCGCTAGCACACCCTCTCAGGCAGAGGTTTAATGTACAGCCGTTTTCCAAGTCCTCATTGATTGTGTTGTTCTTGTTGATCCTCCCCCTCTCAGCAGTACGTCTTGTTATCAGGTTTAAGACGTCCTTTAGAGCAACAGTCTGATTGAACCAGGAAGAGGATCAGGGGGTTAGGCTCAGATGTTTATTGCTGACCTCCCTTCTTTTGCCAAGCCGTCTTATTTTGATCATATATGGCAATAGGGATCTTCTAGCTCTACTCCTCGGTGGTTGTGTGATCCCCGACTTGTAATGCCAGTGAATGTGCAGCTATGTGGATAGCCAGTTATTGCTGAAATCCCCTTTTATCATGGTCCGATCTAACACCTATTAAAATGGAAACCCTCATGAGAGGCGTTTGCAATATTTGGGAGTTAAGTAATTGATAACATTTTTGATAATTTTTATTTTATTTGTATATTTTTTAACATAAATATATAATAATTTTGATTATATGTTTTTGGGGCGGGACCCTTTTCACAGTTGTATCATGCATTTATAAAAATAATTTTGTGAATCAATCAAGCAGCAAAATAGAGGCTACATTTATGGGACAAATCCATATTTACTAAAAATGATTTAATCATAAACACATTTACAGTATATACACGTATGGTGATGACACAACATAAAAGTGGGTTTAATGTGGCACCAGTGGCCAGTTACAATGACTTATAATATTGAACTATGCAAGTTGGGGCTTAACAATTATTTGTATCTTTATCAAAGTTGCAATATGCCATACTATAATTGTCTAATCGCCAGAATGTAATATTTGTTTAAGGACTATCCATCATATCATATAAACCTATGCAGAAATCACACCATAATTAGAATTAGAATATTTATATAAAACATTTAATTCCCCCTTATATCATATCAGAAATGCAATATCAGTGAACATAATCACAATTCGATATTTCTTCCATGGTCTTTTAGCCGTAGGATTAACATTTGAAATGTCTTTGTCTTTTTCAAGTCACTTTAATTCAAAGTTCCCTCACTTTTGTAATCTTGAAGTCACAGTGTAGTAAGCAAACACAGTCTGTATCACAGAACATTCTGTAAATGTTCAGGTAGTCAAACATAGCCAGCCCTGCACACACTCTTTGTCTCTCTCTACGACACGGTGTCTGTTACACACTCGTTCGTATTGCTCACCAGTGCACATGTGAACACACACACGCACACATACTTAAATGGGGTCATGGCTGGTTCTCTGGAGATATAAGGGTGAATGAGGCTAGATGGTGACTGTCCCACATACTGCCGCTACCTCGGTCCCCAGACAGGACGGGGACATAGCCTGCCTCTTAGTTCACTGCCAGTATCTTCAGTCGCTCTGCTGACAGGGTGGCATGTTCACTGCTGTTTACTCCCACCAGCTGCTGCGTACAGTAAAGCCCACACGGCTCTGTGATCGTACGTTTAAACGTCTGTCACTTCATCTTTTTCAAGTTGGATTTGGAATGATGAACCGTGCTTACACTTCTAATTTGTTTGCAGGATGTTAGGCTTGCAAGGTTGTACTTTTTAGTGTAGTCCAAGTCAATGCGCACCCGAGATGTGCATATGCCCATGTGCGGACATGGAGTGATGTTATCTCATAGAATCTCAAAGAGGAGATCCTCTAAAATAAGTGCCATGGCTTAAGAAATAATGTCAACATCTAGGATTTGGCTGTTTCTAGTTAATAGCAGCCGAGCACAGTGTTTGTATTGCAGACTAAAATACGGCTGCTTGCTCCAAATCTTTTGTAAAGCCTGT